CCCTGGGAGTTGAAAGTGCCCTTCTTGTCCGGGTTTGGGTGGTTGTAGGCGGCTGCGTTGAATCTGTCCTCTGGGACCTTCGACCAGCCTGTCCTCTGGCGACACAGCATGCGGTAAAACTCGCCAGGGTTCGAGACGTCACCAGGCAGCCGGCAGGACATGCCCACGATGGCGATCGGCATCGGCTTCTGGTCCGCCATGGCGAACGATTTGGATTAACGAGTGAATATGGCGAAATAGGAACAACGAAAAGGAAATCGAACGAGCGCCTTAGTTGTGGATCGGATGAATGTCGATTCTCTCAGGACAAAAGTTTCGCAGCACCGCAGAGACCGGATTCTTTCACATCTTACTTATAAGACGAACGGGATGCACACACGCACATTGGCAGAGAAGGCGCGCCAAGGGAGATGCCAAATCCGGCGAGCGGGCGATCACGGCGCCGCGTGTTTGTTCCCACGCGTGGGGTGCCGACGGTTGAACGCAGCGGGAGGTGAGACGGCCATGGTGCCTTGCTAGCCGTTTGGTGGATGAGGGTAAACTTCGTCCGACCCCCTTCCTATTTCTGGCGCACCCCCCCCCCCCTCACCCAGCTTTAGAGCCTGTGCCTGGATTGCTCGCGGGTGCAGCTCCGCACATAACGGCCTACACCCACCCCTGTTCCAGGGAACAGTTACCGCTAAATTGCAGGGCGTAGCGCGCTACTAGCTTCGGCGTCTGAACGAATGCAAGTTTCGGTCCAAGTGGACGGCTAGTCGCTGAGCGTGGGAGTGGCGACGCGAAGTTTCCTTCGTTTCTGGTGCCCTACCGTTCCAACCCGCCGTGTGATTTGCGAGTCAAGGGCCAGGAACCAGGGGTAAGTGTCCCTCGAGCAAGTTGCTCGGCCGTCTTCAGTATCCCAGGAGCCACGCATCGGGGCTGGATATCAGGCTTGCGGCCCCTGCCAAGCAAGTCAGCGAGCACGGCTTGGCACACTCTAATCCAACGCTGCACCTTGGCTGTTCCAAATGCAAGATTCTTATTGCGTATTCCATGCTGCATCGATCCTCCTAGAGATGGTCGTTGAGATGCGGGCTGGTAGTTAGGAGTCATCTCAGCTCCTTATTCGGGATGACAAATGACGGAGCTGGCCTCCCACCCCATTGCATTTGCCAGTTGCTGCCAAAGGTTGGCAAGTGTCGTTAGCTCTACGACCGAAGCGCTCGCCCTTCACGGCAGCGCCGGGTCAGGGGCTGGCGCAAGTGAAACCTTGATCGTAGTGTGGTTTGCGCATGTGAAGAACCAGCTCGCCGGGCAAAGCATGGAGCAGTCCTACCGACTTTGCCTTTGGTAAGCGCCAACACGGTCTTGAGTTGACCCTAGACCTGCAAAGACGCTGCCGGGCAACGCTCAGCCGCGTCTGGACGTGTTGCGTGCCAACGTTTCAGGCACAACAGCGGGACTTGGGGCCGAAATTAGCATCCGGCTGCAGAAAAGCCGTTGGAGGGGGCCATGACGTCCTAACGCCTCGGCGCCGTTGAAGATACACACACGGGAGATCCGTGCGAGGAGCCAAATGTGCTGCAGAGATGGTTGCTGCAGTCCCCCAATACTCTACCAAGCCGCTCTGACGCGCAATCTTTTTGATGCGGCTAGCAGTCCTCATGCGGCTCTAGCTCTGAGGTTGGGAGGAAGGGCGGGATGGTGCTGTCTGTGTACGTAACTATGGCGAACGGATCGTGTCTTCTGCGAGTATACATAGCGACGGGGGGATCTTGACGAAATGAAAGAAATTCCTCATCAGCATCACAGATCAACATCTCACACTCACCTCACACCTTCATCAAACAACACTCTTGATAACAGCCGTTCAACATCATCAGTCTTTTTTTTTTTTTTTCCATCTCTTCACAGAGATACCTACACTCGCTCACACAACCCCCTACCACCAACCATCAAGATGAAGTTCCTTTGCCTCCCCGGTGCCTATGGCAGCGCCAAGGTTTGTCATCTCCCCTTTTATCCCTCGTGACAGATACTGACGCTATCCAGAACTTTGCCGTCCAGCTTGGCCCCCTCGCTGAGGAGATGAGCAAGCGTGGCCTCGGTGAATTCACCTACAGCCAGGGCATCCACGAGGTCGACCCCCCCTCCGGCTGGGAGGACTACTTCGGCGCCCGCCCCCTCTACCGCTTCCTCGACACCACCCGCGGCGACACCTTCGAGACGCTCCGTCGCCTCCGCCACGTCCCCCACGGCATGAACCCCGAAGACACCATGCGCATGCTCCAATCCGCCTCCCACGGCGAGGAGTGGCATCAGCGCGCCTGGCTCAAAGCCCTCGAGTCCGTCATCCACACCGTCGAGCAAGACCCCGAGATCGACGCCATCATCGGATACTCCGAGGGCGCCATGGTCGCCGCCAGCTTAGTCGTCGAGGAGGCCCGCCGCTTCCAGATGTACGGCACCCCGCGCCGCATCAAGTTTGCCATCTTCATCTCCGGCGCTCCCCCGCTCAAGATGGAGGGTGACAACCGCATCACCGCCCAGCTCGCCGACGAGATCAAGGATGCCGTCATCGACATCCCCACCTTCCACATCTTTGGCTGCGACGACGCCTTCCTCTCCTCCGCCGTCGCCCTCTTCAACGTCTGCGACCAGAAAACGGCTACCATGTACGACCACGGTCTCGGCCACATCGTCCCTCGCGATAACGAGAATGTCAGCATCCTTGGTGACGTCCTCGGAAAGATCATCCCCCCCGTGGAGCAGTCTGCGCGCAGGCAGAGCTTGATCGCGTCTAGCAGCGTGCGCCGCTCCAACTCGAGCAAGATGGCTACTCGCTCAGGTGGTAATGCGGAGGGTGGGCTGCAGCGCCATGGGTCGATGAGGGTGCTGGAGACGGGGTTTGACAGGATTGAAAAGATGGATTTCAGCACTGGTGAGTTTTGATATAGAGTCTGATCGGGCCCGGTGGCGGCTAACGTGTGTCACAGCGATGCTGCGGCCGGTGTTGTTGTAGTGTGGTTGGTGATTGCATGTTGGAGTCATCGGGTTCGTGAGGATTTGGGCTTTACTTCTGGACTGTTGTTTTGCTCTCTGGGCCTTTGGGGGAGTTGATATTGGGGAGTTGAAAGATTGAAAGGGGGTGCATAGAGGAGGATCATAATACCATTGTTGGTGAGGGAGTTGGAAGTTGTAATGCGGAGCCATGATTAAATGGTTTGGGCGTTTGGATGGGAGGGCAATTGTTTTGGTCGGCATGAGCATGAGCATGAGCAATGTCGTTGGCAACTTTGCTGTCTGGTTGGTGTAATTTTGGATCTTGGGAGTGGAGGATTTGGTCTTCGCATCCCGAGTCAAGGCATTTCAGTTAGATAGGGAGTAACTGAAGTTTTGGACCTGACACACATCTTGGGCTTTGTTTTGTGACGATTGCATTGTGCTTTCGGTCTCTCCGCTTCTGTGAGTCTATGCTTTTTCAACCACCCACATTGCGCCACTACTGAATCTCCATAATTGCTGGGATCCAAATTATCTCCATTAATAATACCCAGCTCCATTCACTCCGTGGGCGAAGACGTGGTAGCTGCTTCGCCTCCAAGTCCCGTCGGTGCAGAAGTCTCCACTGTCAAAGCTCTTCTCCGTCGTGAAACCCAACAAAAAACGGAGCATCTGCCCAGCAGTTTTGGCAGAAAGACGGCCCTTGGTCAGGAATTGGATACTGCCCGTTTTCTACTCGGCAAGAGCAAACACTGAAGTTGGCAGATTGCTCGATGAGGCCTGGCGCAAAGAATGCAGATGGATCTCCGTGTAGCAAAGACCTGCAAGGCAGATAGGTTATGAAACTCATTGTTTGTCCATGGCTTTGTCTGGAAATTTACTCTTGGACTGAAAAGAAAGCTTCTCCTTTAGACTGGTTATTGTTTCAGTTCTCGACTCGATGCCCTTAATGAAAGAGTCAGCATTTCTGCTAGAAACGCATAGAAACACGACAGAATTAGCAATGCTTGCAGAATATACAACATATATACCTCCCATTGCACACACCCAACGACATCTTCACGGCTTCGATTTCTTGATAACAACGTCAATTTTCACACCCTTGCTGGATACTGGATGTTGTGATGTAGCATGAGACAACGGCATACAGGGGTAGCTCCATGGCCAGAATGAGTTTGATGGTGTTAACCGCTCACCGCTTACTGCCGTACCTGTAACTGACTGTGCTGCCGATTATACGGAGCAAAAAAGCCAAGAGCCATATCGGGGACATTAGCCGTTCCGGAGATGAATCCTTGAAACAAAAAATCGGCACTGCATCGGGGCGGCGCAGCTGGAGGAACGTGGTCCAGGGTGATAAGGCAAGAAGTGCTGGGCGGAAGGATCACCATCCTGCGCTCCCATTCTTTCAAGAAATCTGGGTCGGTATCCATGTCAATCCTATTCCAGTTCCTTTTTCCGTTTCGAATTTTGCGGCGAGATCGGTTCCATCACGAAATTTCGTTTGGCGACTTGGCAACGGAGAGCTGCCTCAGGTTCCTTGCAAACACCACAACTACCGTTTCCATCGTCCTTTAGACAACTTCCCTGCTTTGCGACCATGGATGCGCCCACCCTCTGACTGTTTTGGGGGGTTGACGGTGCTGCCCTATTACTTTTCGAACGTGCTAGATCGGCACTAACATTGACAGGCTGACATCCGTAAAATTCTAGATCTGCAAGGCCATGACACATGACAAGAAGCTTCCATGTGATTGACAAATTCCATTCGACGTCATCTGCATTTTGCAATCTCGCACTTGGAATAACTGGAGTCTTCGAGATTGTTCTCTGGGAAACGAATCTGGCGAACAGCAGTGGATTCCTTCACCCGAAGACCCATTCTCAGCCTGCAAGTTGCAGCTACCCCATACCCGTGGATTTCAGGGGTTCAGCCCTCAACTCCACCAAGTGGAGCCCCAGCTGCACATTCACACTTTTGAGTTGGAATTTCCCCCAAAAGCATCAGCAACAAGGTCGCCCGGCTAGCTCAATCGGTAGAGCGTGAGACTTTTACGAAGACTGGATACTTCAGAATCTCATGAGATCATCTCAAGGTTGTGGGTTAGACCCCCACGCCGGGCTCAATTCCTGTCCATTCGATTGCGATCATTTTTTGATGTTTTTTGTCTTTGGGGTTTAATTTTTGGTAGAAGGTTCTATGCTTCGAGGTCAACGGAGGTGTTTCTACCGTCGTCTTGGACACAATCCTTTGTTGTTGATATCTCCTTTGCCCATCTACATGATGTTCGAGGAAATCTAGACTTCTAGTTCAACATCTTCATTGTTCGTACTGGTTCTACGCCTGAGGCAGCTATCCCCAATAGGAAGTATACAGCACCCGTATCACTCCATCCTGGATCACTGCATCAAACAAGCGCACAAACACCCATTTGCAGACGCCATGGACGACGACTTCCCTCAAGAAACTAATCGACCAAATTCTCCACGCCGTCCGTGAAGGCCTCGACGTAACCCAAACCCGCCATGGATTCAACCGCCTTGCACGTCGTCCCCGAGCCATTGCCCCCCTCTCAGTTCTTTCCCGCCCCTGGCAACGCTCCGTCGAAGCACTCACACTGAAGACGGTTCGCCTGTGCATCAACGACATTCACTTTGAGTACCAGCTCATTCATCGCATACTGGGAGTCGATCGCCGACGCGATATTCTCCGGGGGCTAGCCCTTCGTCTAGAGCTGCCGATGCCTGTTGACAGGACAACAGGGGAGCGGGCTAGACCGCGGGATTCAGCACACACGACTTTCAGCTATGTTGATACCGCGCATGTTTTTGACGGAGCAAGCACCTCCGCGTTTAACGCCGGAGGAGTTCTCGACGGTCAGGTCCAGGCATGGTACATGCGTGAGGACGCCGCTGCTGATGACAAAGCTTTTACCCATGTTGTGTTCCAGGCCTTGACTGCCATGGCCACAAGCTCCGATGCCAACTACGGGCTCTGGTTGCTTCTTGAGAGGAAATTTGAGAAATCGCTAGGGTCTCGGCCGTATGCAGGGGGCGCACTCCACCCCCTCAGGCTCAACCCGACCACCATCGCAGTGTACGGGGGTCTTCCTGTGATGAAAGACGTGAACAGTCTCTACGTTGAGCCTGCATCTGCAGAAGCGGCTACTACTGCGCAGTTGCAGCGATTCCTCCATCCAAACACACTTGTCCAGCTGCTCAAGAGTCTCTCCGATGTCAGGAAGCTGATGTGGGGAATTGATATGCCTCCACGGCGGCTCGCGGAAGACCGGCTTAAGCTGCGTGACTCGCTCATCGGCGTACTGGATACTCTCGTCAGCAAGTTTCCGAACCTCGGATACCTGGACCTCAGATGCGAAGATGACGACCCCTTTAACCATGACTTTACTTTGCCAAATTACATCGACCCCAACTCGCCTGGTGACAAACTGAGCCTAGCGGTGCACCGCCTCTCTCAGCTGCGCTCGCTGAAGACCCTCATCCTCCGCACCCTTAGCGTCTCGGACCAAGTGTTTAACGGGCTTACCAGCGAGTTCGCCACTTGGCAGTCCCTCGAACACTGTACCCCGACACTATCCCAAACTACGCCTAGGGGGGACTGGCATTTCTCCAGAACCCCGGGAGCCGGACTGAGCCTGGTCAAGTTCCAGGTTCCAGGCGACGATTTCCTGGCACCGCCATCTCAGGGGCCCAGTGGTTGGCGACCCAGCCGATTGGAACTTGCAGATGGCGTGGGCGAGAGAAAATGGCGACGATCCTTGGCGCCCATTCCGGGGGACACCCGATCCTGTCACATTCACTAGATTTATCGTTGCTGCCGCTCGCGCCGCCACCCAGATGCCGAACCTTCCAGAGCGCCCCACGCGCGAGCCAAGATGGTTTTTATACAGAGCTGCTACCACACTGAACTGTTTGAGCTGCCTGAGGGGTTGATGGATAAGATGCGCGCAGCGAGTCTACCTGGTGTGGTTTTTGGAGCTGAGAGACAGTGCCGGAATTTCAGGAATTTTGTTCGTGAGGACTATCTTGCGGACCATTTCAATTGCGAGAGTGTGGTCCTCTCGGAGATCGCTGATGATGCTGCTGAGAACGTTGCGCAAGAATGAGTCGAGACACATCCGTGCGCAAGATATCGATGGCAGGACAGTTTGTTAGCGGCATGGCCGGTGAAGCAATTAGTTTTTGGGACGGAAAACAGATGTAGTTGGGTAGCCCTAGTACTGGCTGGTATGGATTAGCAGGCAAAAAGATACATTAGTAGCGATTCGCCCCAGCTGAATACCGCGGAATAACCCCAGCGTGGCACGGTCCCTGGATTATTGCCGTTTTCCGTGTCTCGTCTCCACACCGGAGAAGATGGAGGCCGAAGCGGGAATTGCACGTGCTGCGGTTGCACCACGTGGGTGTTGTTGGATCTGGGGCCATCCCTGAGGCGAGCGGCCAAAACAGCTCAAATCAGTCGTGTCCGGAAGCAAGTTTTATCGACCGTTAGCTGGCGGTTTCAGATAACGACAGACCGCAGAGTCTCGATTGCGTGATCGCATGCTCACCGAACCAAGGGCGAAAAGCTCAGACCGCGATCTATTGCCAAAATCCACGCAAGAAGCCCAGGGATGTCTCGATCGAACCCACCCAATCGGTAGCGTCAAGCCAAATGGGGGAAAGCAACAGAAGCAATGAGCGGGGAGAATACCCCTGGAATCGCGGAGTGTCGGCGCTGCCAAGCAATGCACGCACCGGCACAGGACCCCACAGGACCCCGGTGGCCAACTTTAGCGCGAAAATGCGCTGAACTGTTTTCAGCGCTTTGATGGGGCCGGTGAAGCTGGCGAAGGCGATGGGCCAGTGTGCTCGCCCCGGTGACTTTGCAGTCTACCCCTCGCGCAACAAAGACGGAGCGACACGATGGAGGGATGAAGCTGACGAGTTGCGATTGGCCCGTCGACTCGCCGTTCGCCGACGAGACGCAGACCCAGGGCCAGATTCTGACTGTGTCACCCAAACACGCAGGCGGCATATGGAAGAACACAGACATTCTGCCAGCGACGGTGGCGAGATTTTTGCAAAGGGCTGCAAATGACGGCAGCCGCGACTGCCATGTTTAGCCATGCAAGGGGGGAAGGAGCGGGAGGCCGGAATTCGGGCAGACGAACTGTTGTTCACCTCTCAGGCTTTTTCCCGGTAATTCAGGGCCATTCCTTCCTTCCGCGACGCATGGCGGTGACTTGTTCCCTTTGCCAATTGGCCCCGTCATCGAGCTCTGCGGACAGCGATACGGCACTTGGCGTCGCGGTGGGTGGTTGGCTTTGGGCCTGCATCACTGCAGCCCCCATCCTTGTTCCTGGCGAACCCATGCGGGCCCCCGTTCGCCAGCTCCGGCCCCCCTCTCCCGCCTCCCAACGCATAGTGAGGTAACCTCCGCCAAATAAGACCCGACTCTGGTGGTAATGTAGGGTCGAGATCGCCCACGCTTGCCGGCCCTGCGTCTCGTCGTCCTCCATCCACAACTATCCCAGGGCGCTGCGAGCATCGCCAATTCCATTCCCTCCGGCTTGGAGGAGCTGGAAACCATGGACGCCCTACCGAGCGACGACCTGTCTCGCTACGTGGGACAGGTCGTCCCCTTCCGCTTCGACCCAGCCATCATCGTCGTCAGCTACCTGGTCAGTCTTGTCGGCGCCGCGTCGACCCTCGAACTCGTGAATCGCCGGACGTCACGCAAGGGCCTTTACAATCACCTTTTGCTGCTCGGTGCATCCATCTCCATGGGCGGTGTCTCCATTTGGTGCATGCATTACATTGGCAATCGCGCGATAACCCTTTTGAACGGCGAACCAGAGCTCCAGATCACCTACTCGCCTGGTGTCACGGTCGCCTCCCTCTTCGTGCCCATCCTCGTGCTCCTCGTCGCCTTCTACGTCGTCACCCTAACCAACGCCGTCAATTGGTGGCGCATTGGCGCTTCGGGAACCCTGTCGGGCTGCGCAATCTGTGGCATGCACTACTTGGGGAACGCCTCGATCCGAAACTACACCTGCGAGTATGTCCCCGGCAACATCGCCGGCGCGAGTGTCATTGCCGCTGCTGCCAGTACCATTGCTCTCTCGCTCTTCTTCGTCTTCAGGGCCGCATGGACCAATTCGTGGTGGAAGAGAATAGGTTGTGCTTTGGTGCTGGGTGGCGCTGTCTCGGGCATGCATTGGTGTGCTGCTGTGGGAACCAGATATCGGTTGGTGGAGCTCACGCCTGCGAGCGACCGCGATCTGCGCAACACCACCGTCATCGTCGTTTCGTGTCTAGTAATACGGCCCCTCTTACTGTGCTCTTGGTTTGTAGTTCAGTGTGCTGACGGTTGGCGCCCAGTCCGTCGCCTCCTGCCTCCTGATGGCTATCCTCGCTGTCTCCTCGGCTCGAGCTCGAAAGGGATACATAAGCAAGGCGCAGAGGGTGACGCTGGCGGCAGCTGTCTTTGACAGATACGGGAGGATTCTGGTGAATCCCGACGGTCTCCTACCAAGCGAGGAGGTCATGAGCACTTTCGTCCAACGAGTAGGTCAAGCGGAAGCTTCGCTTCATCCCATTGCTGACAGACACCGCAGTCCCAACATGACGCCTTCTCCACCGCTCACCCCCTTTTCCACTGGGTCTACCAAGCTTCACGCAACTGGTCCAGCATCGAGAACCTGACCGATAAAATGTTTGCCCATCTGTCTCGTCTGCCGCATCGTGGCCGCAACGTCCGGACAGGTATCGAGCTCGTCGACGGAGGGGGTCGCATCGTCGAAAATTACGACACAATCGTTCGAGAGCTGTTTTGTATTGCCGCGGCAACCCTCGCCCACAAGATGCACGAGAACCTGGCCGACGTGGGTACTCTCTGGAACGAGATGTTTGCCACTGGTGGGGCGCCGATACGGTCTTCCACCGAGGGGCCTGAGAGTGAGAGAAGCGGGAGCAGCGGCTCAGATGTGAAGACGAAGCAAGATGATATGGTCGAAAAGGGAATGGCATACAAGACGCACCAATCGCACGGTTCCCTCATGATCCTGGTCCGCAAGCTCGAAAACATCCGGGATGTCGATAAGCTCGAAGCCGCCGGCTAC